CTGATGAGTCTTGCTGACCTAAACATTCACATGAGTCTCTGTACATGAACATGGTAAAATGAAAAATCAAACACCTTGGAAATGACAGGTATGTATATGTCTCAATAGTACAAAGGTGTGTGACTGTTCAAGTTTCTGTCTTTAGATCAGTGTGTTCAATAATGTGTTTTTTTTTGTCCTTTGTTGTGTATCTTTGGATTATGTTGTGTTGTAAATAAATCCAAACAATTAAAAAGCCAATCTTTTTTTAAATCTCTCCTCATTCTTTGTGTAAGGTTCCTCATAATGATAGGGCCTGATAGCACCTGATAGGGTCATTATGGGAGGGTCTTTGTCTTTCTCAGGTGTGAAACACATCAATATTCATGATGATTCAGGATGATTTTCACATAGTTTTGGAGCAAATATTCTAGGCTACTTGATACGATTTTCAAAAGTCTTGTGAAGAAATAATCAGTATGGGTTTCATGACCTTATTTCAGTGATTTTTTTTTCTTCACAAACCACGCATAAACATCATTATCTCAAAACTACAAACTTTTACATACATGCTGTTGACATATTATTGTAGCAGAGTTTGTGCTGAATACAGAGCAGTCAGACTTTAGCCATGAAAATGTCACAAATAACAGAAATAAGCACAAATGTCGGAGCATGTCAGAACACTTCCAGGGCCCAGAAAATACCTCAGACCCCCGAGGGTTAAAGGTGATCATTATTGATAAACCCTCAAGTAAGCATTTCAGGAAGTGTGTCCCTATATATGTCCCAGGTTTTTGGCACCTGAGAACACACACAAACTGTGTTTTATGTATTTGGTTGAGGAGCACATGCATTCAGTTCTCGAGGGATCTGAATGTGCCTATTGTGAGAAATTCACAATGCGTAAGCTCTGGCCCTATTCTCTAGGGATGTGAGACAGGCGTCTGCGCCCACGGCACAGCGGAGACTGAAGTCATGGGGATCGCTGGTCAAGGTGGCTGAGGAGTTCGAGAAAGGTATGGCTCTATCGCATTCCTCAGTCACCGACTCAAGCGATCTGCTGGATCAGGATGTACTGTCTCTTTAGTCTTCTGATCCAGCAAATAGCATGTTGGATGAGGCGGATGTGGTTAAGTAGGGCGAGGATATCGCTTGTAGTGAGCCCTCTCAGCCTGCCAGCCAGGCATACGAGGAGTTGTTGGAGGTGATGGCCCATGCCACACTAGATTGGATCTAGTTTGGGGGCAGGCAAGACAGGAAATCGCTTGTGGCAGACTCAACGAGAGGGTCCTGTCAGGCCATAACCGTACCACAGATTTAAGCCCACCAAACAAACAGCCGCTGCCATTGCTTGTTCAAGGGCGGCAACTGTGGCAACATAGAAGCATCTGTGGTTGAACTTGACGGACATCAAAACTTTTCGACATGTCTGTAGAGACGGTGGTCGGGGAACTTTAGAGAGGCGAGGGCACGTCAGCTGCTTTCAGGAAGTACATCTTCAACTAAAATCTCTGGGGGACCTGGTCCATCACAGTCTGAGGACTGGAGCCAGGGCCCGAGGGAGAGCATAGCCACTCTGGCTCGCATAGGCACAGCAAATGAGGAGAGGATGGCGGAGTGGATATTTGTTAACCATACAGTCAATCCAAGACGCAGTGTTGAGTTCCACTTCAACAGGAAACGTCTCAGGTTACGACTGTAACCATGGTTCCCTGAAAAGGGGATCGAGAAACTGCATCTCATTGCAATGTCTCCAGCCTGCCTGCTCGTCTCCTTTAGACAAGGAAGTTGATGACATACAGTACTTCGCAGATGCCCTCTTATACTCATAGGCGCTTCGGTAATGATGTCATGGACTGTCGTTGGACAATAAAATTGTTGTGTTTACACACAAGCTTCAGTCAAGCCCAAACAGCAACCCGGAAGATACTTTTCGAACACACAGAGGGAATCACAACATCACCCAGATGGAAGGTACCCTAAATGAAGAGTTTAGGATTAGCAGCTAAAATAAATGGAACACTAAAGAGGGCCACTATATTGAGATCACAGGGCCAGTCGTGCTGTGTGCAGTTCAACACAGTTCAACCATTGCAATTAAACATTCCAAAAAAACTGTCCCTGCTGGAACAATGAAGCAAACCACGACAGCCCACAGAGAAAGGACAAAAGCCATAACCTCAAGTGTCAAGCTCAAACACACGATATCCACAGCCACTCCCTAAAACTCAGCCAGGAAGAAACACCAACAACAGCAAAACGTCACGCTTGAATCCAAGAGTCCATTTTAAAGTAGAAAGTATATGTTTTGTATATGCAATTGTGTAGTTTTTTTTATTTTTTTATTTCCACTTTTATAATATAATTTTTATAATAAATTGTCTCATTCTGTTAGTATCCTATGCTGTGATGTCACATACAAAACTTCTAAAGCCAAAAAAATAATACATCTATAAACAATCATAGACATGACCATTTTTATTCGGTTGCAATTGAGATTAATTATATTATTTCAATGCATTCTCATCCTTTGGCCTCAGGTGACGCCATATGACATTTCGTCGAAATCTTACGCACATGGCATCCTTTAGCGTCAATATAAGACGCACTGTTATGGGTAGGTTTAGGTCTGGGGTCGGGTTACGGTTATGACGACTTGGGATCTGCGTCTCATATTCACGCTAAACGATGCCATGTGCGTAAGATTTCAACGAAATGTCCAAAGCGTCACATGTATGACGCCAAAGGATGAGAACGGGCTGATTATTTCAGTCAATACTGTATGACATTTTTTTTTCTTACAGTATTTGATGTACTTGCGAAAACGTTCAGTTCAGATATTATGAAAAAAAAAAAAAAAAATGGGACCCATTTTTTAAATGTAACAGGTCCACTATCAGGCTGCCTATAGAAGGCAGGCGTAAACAGACAGCGTGATACTTGATTTGTGGGGGGATCTTCTCCAGTCATTTGTCAGAATTGGAAACACAGACACTATTTTATACACAAATGTAGCCCATCCCTCCCACACAGTGAGAGGAAAGGTGGAAGGAGGTGAGATTTAGGACGCAGAATGTGTGGTCTGAGCATTCAAAGCAAATGAAATGTACCAGAATCAAAGTGAAACGGCACTCAGTTTATGAAAGATAAGACCCAGTATGTGTTTAAAGTAACTTGTAGACATCCCCTAAATCTCTTTGAGTAAACAATGATGTTCAGTGTAACAGAGCTGTAGAACTTTTTATTAGACAAGGGATTTTTATGTAAGTACGTAGTGCTTTCTTCTTCAGATAAATAAAGGGTCCCGAGCAGGTCCAGAATTTACTTTTTGAATGGGTGTGAATTAAGAAAAGTAACTGACTAAATATTTCTTAACAGCCATAAAACTATTCTGCATTATTTATATACGCTATACATTGTGTTATGCTTGTAATAACATAAATATTCACCTTTCGAAATATTGAGAATTCAAAGTATTGCAATTTAAACCATGCAGAATGTTAACCATCCAACTGTCCAGCAATGTCAAATGTACTGGCCAAAGTCATTTTTACTAACACTTGTTTCTTAATATTAAGCCTAAAATGTGTTATTATATCCCTATTAGCAGGATAGTATGACATCTGTCTTAAAATGCAAGATATTTAAAGTGTACCTAAAGTATAATTGCAGTTCCATTTTAGCACAATCCAACATATTTAAGTATATTTGGCAGACTTTAAGTATATAAATTTAGTATATCAAAAAGTACAATTGCAGGGTATCTTAAGCACATAAATATGTAAATATATTTGTAGTATACTTAGCATAAAAGAAATGTTATTTCAAATGTATTTTGGTATATTTATTTTTCACTAGGGCTATATCAAAGAACACAAATAACTGGTGTTCAGATGTCCTGGTTTCACCTCCCTTCTTAAAATTACTGTAAGTATCCTCAATGTATTGAAAGTAAAAAAAAACTCTGTTCAGTAAAAACTGTAATTAAACTTTAATTACAGACCTGTTTTTTTTGCCAAATTCCGACAGCACTGAATCAGTATTGACATGTAATTAATAATCATGCAATAAGACTATGACAATTACTTAAGTAATTTTAGAGCATTTGATTACTTTTGGATTTCTTCTGCAGCCAGTTGGAACACCCTTAATTATAATAATAATGGTTTTCTTAAATTAAGGAGTTTGTTGAATCGGATCCATGATAAACTCCAAACACCTGTTTACCTAATTTGCATACACTCATGTTCTGCTGTTTTTTTTTTTTTTTTATGTACTCTGTTGCTTGTAACCTGTGTTCTTTATTTCATTAAAATAATCACTATACAATATTTTAGACATAAGACCGTGAAGACAGTCACAAACTTAACACAATAAGTTCACTGCAGCCAGAGGCGCCGCTAAGGAGGGGAAAGTTGGGATGATTCTAAGGGCCCACACACACTTTTGGGGCAATATTCTTTCATAGGGCCCAAAACTTCTAGCGGCGCCCCTGACTGCAACACTCACCCAATGCTTGCCAACAGAAAACATGAAACGCACGAGTTTGCCCTCGGATGTTATACATAAAACAAAACAGTCATTCATTTGTGAGGAGTTTCATGATTTTTTATTTATTGCAAGAAAACAAATAGCACTGCATTTAATACATTATCATGAATATTAAAAAGGAAAGAGAAAGAGAGAGAAAAATACAGACAAATGACACCTGAACCAGTAAGAAAAATATGATCATAATTCTTTAGAAACTTGTTGTTCTTGTTGTTATCAGTAAGTTTAAGAGATTTTATAATATAAGGGAAATCTCAGAGATGATAAAGACGTCTCTTTTCAAAGGTGTGAGCAATAATAACTCTAAAGAAGAGTTATTAAAATCATTCTCATGCAGATGCATTGTGCTCACACCTTTGAAAAGAGAAGAAATCTAGGCAAAGTCTTGTTTTTGTTAATAAAGTGAGGAGTTATACAGTAAAGGTGAACGCGATCTGTGACGTGGATGACGTTGGTAATATCGCGAGATAACACGGGATGAATATGGCCGCAGTTAAACTACAGAGGAGTGTTGTGAGTCAGACTGGAAAACACACTGCTTCTGTTATCTTTCTTCATGGCTCAGGTGATTTGAAGAGTTATTAAAATCTTTCTCACGCAGATGCATTGTGCTCACACCTTTGAAAAGAGAAGTTTTACAAACCGGAACTGAATAGCGCACTGAGCGCAGTTCACGCATGACAGCTGAATGAAACGCAAGAGACGCGGTTTAACTGTATCTAATGTCGTTGAAACGCACCGATTGATGTGAAACTTCGTCTGACTTGTTCAAAGACAAGCAATTAAAAGAATTAGTGCAGACAGCGCAATAATTGAATGAACTACGGCTATCTCTCTCTTGCATATAGGTAGCCTATGTGACCACACACTGAAAGCGTTTAAAATCTGTTCACCCTCATAGCATGTGTGCATCAATCTAAATCAGGGCTACTCGACTTCGGAGGGCTGCATTTTAAACCACATAAAGTGCAAAGGGACACAAACTTGGATCATAAGACCTTTATTTAGGCATACTTAAGACAATAGTTGTAGTTTTACTGCGTATTTACAGTTAAACATCTAGCTAAGTCTTACTGGTCCTTTAATGGTTGTCCTATTTAAACTAAGTGTCACTGAACATGGAAAAAAAGGATTAATAGTTTGTCTTGCTGTTGCCTATTCTTAATGGAAAAATGCATTTATACGCAGAGTATGAAAAAAATGCCAAAATGCATGAAGAAAAACATTCTTGAGCAAATAAACTTAACAAGAACTGATTAAAAGAAGTCCTTTCCAGTGAAAAATCTGCACTGTTTTCACAAGTAATTTCAGGTGTGGCTGATCTGAGACAGTCTGAGACAACTTTTTATAGTCTTTTTTTATACTCCATTGCACCTTTTTAATACTTTTTATAGTGCCTATTTATACTCTGGGTTGCTTTACAAAGGTTTCATTATTATTATTATTATTAATTATTAGCTCTACCTTTTAACTTGGTCAGAATCCCCCAAAAAAAATTTCATTCTGTCACAGTCTCACGAATCCTCTAATTATAACCAATATTGTAAACACGATAAATAAAAGATCCTCTGTGAGTTCAATAAAGTAACGACAGCTTGTAATGGTAGCGCTGTCTGCTTGCTTTCTGTTTATAACACATTTACATTAAGAATATAGTTTTTTTCATCCTGCTAAGAAGACCATCAACCACATAGACATTGCAAAGTTTCAGGAGTGTCAACTGCAATAAATGATGCAAAAATAAAGTTACTTAGTTTTTAACTTAGGCGCACCGTCTCACGCATTTGATAGCGTGCGTGAACACAGGTGCTCGACACACTAAGATTTACATTGAAGGGAACTTCATACCTAGAGACTCGGGTGGGTTCTTTAGACTTGGGCCACGAAGCCTCTGAATTGGGACGCAGCTTATAATACGCATTGCAACTCAGAACACCTTAACAGCCATATACTTATTCAACATGCAACTAATATTTTCTTGTAGATATGTTTTCATGCAAATATTGTGTTTGTTCTATTTGAATATGTTTAAACGCAAGTTTAGTTTAGACACAATTGAACAATTTAATCCAGTGTGGCTGCGTAATAACTTTCTTCCGTTTCAATTAGGAGACACGGGGCCAGGTTTGCTCAGCTGGGTTTGTGATGTTTTGGGACAAAACCTGGCATTTGAAAACATCCGGGTGATTTATCCCACAGCGCCATCCAGGTAAACACCCTGAACATTATAATTCATACAACTCTTTATGTCAAGTGTCAAGCTTATTGTCAAGTGGACAATAAGCCCACTAAGCTAAGAACTCAAACTATTATATAAACAGCATTAACTGAATTCATTGTTTACAAACTTACTACCATATTATTAAAAAAAATCATATATACTGCATATATTATATATATATATATATGGACTAGGTACAGATAGATAGTGAAAGAAAAATTGATTAATAACTATTTAGATATCTGTAAGAAAACAAGTAAAACTTATATTTGGGAGGGCATGCACTATATTTTATTTCTTAAATAAAAACCTTTATAGAAACAATTTTATAACTTAACTCTTTCCCTGCCTGTGTTTTAATTTTAAGTGGTCAGCCAGCACCAGCATTTTTGGACTAATTTTTTATACAAAAAGCTGAGAAAATCATGTTTTTGTCAAAGACTCAGGCAATTCTAGGATGTCAATATTAGGGGGGCTCAACCCCCAATGAGGGTATGATTATATTATACAATAATATATAATTATATAATAATTTAATACATTGTTTGTATACTAGATTAGGCATGAACAATACAGTAGGTTCTACTATTTATCAAGTCAATCCCTGAACATTAAAATTATTTCTAATAATTTTAAAATATCCAGCATATTCATTAAGAATATAGACAAAATTGTAATAATTTAATTGTCTATATTGTCAATTTGTGGGAAAATTATTTTATATATGCAGTATATATATTTTTTTTTAGTGCTGGGCAACGATTAATCACGATTAAATAAAAGTTTGTGTTTACATAATAAATGAGTGTGTACTGTGTATAATTATTTTGTATATATAAAATATAAATACACACATATGCATGTATATATTTAAGAAATATTTACATGTATACTGTATATTTACACAATTTATATTATATATAAATAGAAATATTTTATATATAAATAAAAAAAATTCTTAAATATATACATGCATGTGTGTTTATTTATATATGCAAAATAATTATACACAGTACACACACATATGTAAGCACAAACTTTTATTTTGGATGCGATTAATCGTAATGTAATGTTTTAAACACTATTATTTTTTTAAATTACGTTTGTGCTGTACAATTAACTTTGAACTTTCGTGGAGGATTTCTGTCATCTGGTGGAAAACAAACACACTGTTAAAGGGTTAGTTCACCCAAAAATGAAAATGATGTCATTAATGACTCTCCCTCATGTCGTCCCAAGCCCGTAAGACCTCCGTTCATCTTCAGAACACAGTTTAAGATATTTTAGATTTAGTCCGAGAGTTTTCTGTCCCTCCATTGTAAATGTATGTACGGTATACTGTCCTTGTCCAGAAAGGAGATAAAGACATCATCAAAGTAGTCCATGTGACATCAGTGGGTTAGTTAGAATGTGTTGAAGCATCGAAAATACATTTTGGTCCAAAAATAACAAAAACTACGACTTTATTCAGCATTGTATTGTCTTGCGGTTCTGTTGTGGATCCGCGTTCAGTGCCGCTGCTGATGTAAGACGCTGCTGACGTGTGTCTGGTGTGTGTGTGTGTGTGTGTATTCTGGTTCTGTTGTGGATCCGCGTTCAGTGCCGCCGCTGACGTAAGACGCTGCTGACGTGTGTCTGGTGTGTGTGTGTGTGTGTGTGTGTGTGTGTGTGTGTGTGTGTGTGTGTGTGTGTGTGTGTCTTGCGGTTCTGTTGTGGATCCGCGTTCAGTGCCGCTGCTGACGTAAGACGCTGCTGACGTGTGTTTGGTGTGTGTATGTGTGTATTCCGGTTCTGTTGTGGATCCGCGTTCAGTGCCGCCGCTGACGTAAGACGCTGCTGACGTGTGTCTGGTGTGTGTGTGTGTGTGTGTGTGTGTGTGTGTGTGTGTGTGTGTGTGTGTGTGTGTGTGTCTTGCGGTTCTGTTGTGGATCCGCGTTCAGTGCCGCTGCTGACGTAAGACGCTGCTGACGTGTGTTTGGTGTGTGTGTGTGTGTATTCCGGTTCTGTTGTGGATCCGCGTTCAGTGCCGCTGCTGACGTAAGACGCTGCTGACGTGTGTCTGGTGTGTGTGTGTGTGTGTGACGTAAGACGCTGCTGACGTGTGTCTGGTGCGCCCGTGCTTCGTTTACAGTCTGAGGGAGACGCACGCTGGAAACAAAACAATCTTCGCAAACATGTCTAAGGATTTCCACACAGAGGAAGACTTGCATTTTTTTTGCCCAGCCATTTGAACCCGAATACACGGACGCACCAGACACACGTCAGCAGCGTCTTACGTCAGCAGCGGCACTGAACGCGGATCCACAACAGAACCGGAAGACAATACAATGCTGAATAAAGTCCTAGTTTTTGTTATTTTTGGACCAAAATGTATTTTCGATGCTTCAACACACTCTAACTAACCCACTGATGTCACATGGACTACTTTGATGATGTCTTTATTTCCTTTCTGGACAAGGACAGTATACCGTACATACATTTACAATGGAGGGACAGAAAGCTCTCGGACTAAATCTAAAATATCTTAAACTGTGTTCTGAAGATGAACGGAGGTCTTACGGGCTTGGGACGACATGAGGGAGAGTCATTAATGACATCATTTTCATTTTTGGGTGAACTAACCCTTTAACATGAAAACGACATGAACTTACCACTATAACCAGTAGATGGCTGCAGAGGAACACTCATTAGCTCATTTGGCATTTCCACTCTCTTTTACAGGTCTTTTCGCGTGTTTTGCTTTTGGATTTATTATTAAATTAGTATTATAACAAATTTCTGCAATTTTATTGCACTTAAGTATGAAGTGTAGCAAGAGTAGGAAAAGTCACAAAGTCTAATTCCATTTAGATGAAAGGAATTTCATAGAATTTTACAGTGGATGGATTGCTCCTGCATCATATTATGTAAACTGCGTTTATGACAAAGAACTACACAGATGCAGATATCATAACAATCTATCAATAAATGCACACACGTCATGCTCTGCTTCTGACGCTGGCGCTGTGCCGCTACGGATTGAGGAACACACTGAAAAACGCTGACTAAAATACGGGGAGGAGCCTGCCACCGTTTTCAAGGGCACTGAGGCGGTCACGAATTAATGTACGGAGTTAATCGCAGATATTTACGGGGGCTGGGTGGAAATTTCGGGGGGGATAAAGCCCTCCTAAAATTGCCCTGGTTTTCGCATTCAGAAGATTTGTAATAGCGCCCCCTACCGTATAACAGTGAACACAGGAATTGCCGGGAAAACTCGTCAATGGTGGGGAAGCGCTGTCATAAATGACGGAAAATCTCGTCAATTGCGGGGAAAGAGTTAAATGAAGATAAGATTACATCTTTTGACCTGTTAAAGCTGAAATTCAGTTAATTCCAAACATTTTACAAAGCATTTTCCACAACTGTGTGAATGCAGTAATTAACATAATGAACTTCTCTAGCATTGTTTTATTAGAATTATTACTTTGTCTGTTTTACTGCTGTAATTGATTGTTTTTAGGCCGTACACACCCATGCGAGGGGCTCTGTCTCATGTGTGGTTTGATCGTCACAAGATTTCCCAGGATTGCCCGGAACACTTGGAGTCTATAGATTCCATGTGTGATCATTTAAGCGCCATTGTCCAAGATGAGATCCGAGCCGGGATACCTAAACACAGGATGGTTATTGGTATGGCTACTGGCTTATCTCTCCCGTGTCCTCTCCACAACTCTCTCTCTCTTCTCCCCATCCATCTATCTCTCCCTGCCTTATTGCTTTCTCTGTCTTACACACTCTCACACTCCACTTGTTCCAAATTAAGCAGAGTCTCAGACCACTGCTCATAAGTCTCTCCCTCGTTTTGTAAAATGAAGAATGAAACTTATCAAGTTTCTTATTCCTTTCATTTGTTGCCAGAATGGGCCAAAAAGAATTTCTGGATGAATCTCAGGTTCCTGCTAAGCTTTATCTCAAAATATTTGGGTTATGGGGTCCACAAATATATCACAATGAGATAAAAGTGGCAGAAAATCATTCAGTAAAAAGAGATTTTAGCAGAACCCAGGCTGGATAGGCAATAAAGGAAGTTACGTTTTGCTCAGGGAGTTAAACCCAATGGCAACAGTTAAGGAAGGGTTAACCGACAAGCCAATAACACATAAATACCTTAAAATAGTTGCGAATAAAATGTGAAAAGCGCAACAACAACAAAAAAAGTCTTTGTGTGAAAAGGCTTGTGTGGAAGGACAGAAAAGCCCCTGAACTCAGTTCCAAAGAAACTGATTCAAAAAACACATGTTCCTGTGAGACTGCTGAAATATTATCTTCCTAAATCATAACATTTTGTCATTAACTATAAATACTCATTGGAGTCACTCTGCACGCTGGAGAAACGAAGTGGTCTGTACGCTGAGTCCACTTCCCAGGCTGACGGACTGACAAGCGCCAGAACTTTCCATGGAAAACGGTTTCATATATGGATTGTGTTTTTCAATCTTTTAGGTGTCGTAGTTAATGGGAAAAGCCCAAGTCAAACATGCATGCACAGATTATTTTTAGCCAAACAACTACAGTATGTGGATTTCTCAAGTTTCTGTCTCTTTGATTAGATGAGGAGTGCATAAAGGGGAAAGTAGTAGACCTGTTAATTAGTCCTGGAGAGATACGCGGTCACATCATCTCTACGAGAGGTTTAAAGAACATGTGAACTCCATCTATCCTCTGTCTCAACATGACTCCTCCATCTGCTCTGACAGACTGATGGGTAGTACATGTTCACTTTCCCAGATGTAGTGCCCAGATTTGCCCAGATGTGTAAGATTAAGCACAGGCATGAAAGAAGAAAAATTGAGTTTTGATGATGTGGAACTCAAGGCTAGCTTTCTTTTCTTTCTTTTTAAATATTTAATTCACGACTTACTGTTTTTTAGCTTGGCTGGACTGCAGATCTTGGGCTACTGTAGACCACTTTAAATTACATACACTTATTAATGCCGTCATGACGCTCCAGAGTGAGAAGGGTTTCATAACTAAAGGAACAGTTCACTCAGACATAAAACTTCTGTTATAGACTGTTTACAATGTGCAACAATAATGCCATTATTGACAATAAATAGTGTATGCATGCCTGTATAATGCAATTAAGGACAGACCCTGACACGAGTGGGTTGCAAAAATATAATTTAACACATATATCAAATTTGTAGTTTGATAAATCAATGACTCATCAAGACCGATGTGTCTGCCACTGCCAAATGAGAGAAGATGTCTCTACACGGAAAAGGTTTACAAACCATGCCTGCACGCTACTAGCAAAACCACCTGCGATTTGTCACTTGTTGCATGCCTTTCATTGAAAACTAGCTAAATGTGAACACAAAATGATACATTTACAATTACAGTGATTCCTTTCCCATCTAAGAAGTTTAGTTCCATAATCATGAAATGTTAGGGTTTCACATTTCCATAGTCTTTCATTTTGAGACCCTGGCTCTGTTATATGAGACAAGGTAAATAGTTCCTTCTGAAAAAAAGTACACTTTAGCATATTTTACTGTGAGTACTTATTATGGAAATAATATACTTTGAAAGAATATGTTTGAAGGGATACTTCACCTCTGGAAAGATGAATGTGTATTTAAAATGGTCATTTATTTAGAAGAAATGTGAAATTAATTTGGAGCTTTCTAGACTGAGAAAAGCCAGAAAATTTATTTTTGGCTTATGTGGATGAAAGACAGCAACTCCCAGAATGCACTTGCTTCGCTGCCCTAGGAGGCCACGCCTACCGGTAACAGAGCGCAGTCGTTAAACAACAAGTCTAGGCTACTAGTGAGTCTCCGTGATGAGTCTGCCCGAAAATGTGTTTCGAGATCGCCCAAAATGTCCGGGATTCGGCTTTTGCGTTCTACAGTCGCCATTCATCATGTTTACTGTGGCGAGCAGGACGAGTGAGGGCCGCGGGAGAACGGCGCGAGTCATGTTTACTGTGGCGAGCAGGACGAGTGAGGGCCGCGGGAGGACGACACGAGTCATGTTTACTGTGGCGAGCAGGACGAGTGAGGGCCGCGGGAGAACGACACGAGTCATGTTTACTGTGGCGAGCAGGACGAGTGAGGGCCGCGGGAGAACGACACGAGTCATGTTTACTGTGGCGAGCAGGACGAGTGAGGGCCGCGGGAGAACGACACGAGTCATGTTTACTGTGGCGAGCAGGACGAGTGAGGGCCGCGGGAGAACGACACGAGTCATGTTTACTGTGGCGAGCAGGACGAGTGAGGGCCGCGGGAGAACGACACGAGTCATGTTTACTGCGGCGAGTAGGACGAGTGAGGGCCGCGGGAGGACGACACGAGTCATGTTTACTGTGGCGAGCAGGACGAGTGAGGGCCGCGGGAGGACGACACGAGTCATGTTTACTGTGGCGAGCAGGACGAGTGAGGGCCGCGGGAGAACGGCGCGAGTCATGTTTACTGTGGCGAGCAGGACGAGTGAGGGCCGCGGGAGGACGACACGAGTCATGTTTACTGTGGCGAGCAGGACGAGTGAGGGCCGCGGGAGGACGACACGAGTCATGTTTACTGTGGCGAGCAGGACGAGTGAGGGCCGCGGGAGAACGACACGAGTCATGTTTACTGTGGCGAGCAGGACGAGTGAGGGCCGCGGGAGAACGACACGAGTCATGTTTACTGTGGCGAGCAGGACGAGTGAGGGCCGCGGGAGAACGACACGAGTCATGTTTACTGCGGCGAGTAGGACGAGTGAGGGCCGCGGGAGAACGACACGAGTCATGTTTACTGTGGCGAGCAGGACGAGTGAGGGCCGCGGGAGAACGACACGAGTCATGTTTACTGTGGCGAGCAGGACGAGTGAGGGCCGCGGGAGAACGGCGCGAGTCATGTTTACTGTGGCGAGCAGGACGAGTGAGGGCCGCGGGAGAACGACACGAGTCATGTTTACTGTGGCGAGCAGGACGAGTGAGGGCCGCGGGAGGACGACACGAGTCATGTTTACTGTGGCGAGCAGGACGAGTGAGGGCCGCGGGAGAACGACACGAGTCATGTTTACTGTGGCGAGCAGGACGAGTGAGGGCCGCGGGAGAACGACACGAGTCATGTTTACTGTGGCGAGCAGGACGAGTGAGGGCCGCGGGAGAACGACACGAGTCATGTTTACTGTGGCGAGCAGGACGAGTGAGGGCCGCGGGAGAACGACACGAGTCATGTTTACTGTGGCGAGCAGGACGAGTGAGGGCCGCGGGAGAACGACACGAGTCATGTTTACTGTGGCGAGCAGGACGAGTGAGGGCCGCGGGAGAACGGCGCGAGTCATGTTTACTGTGGCGAGCAGGACGAGTGAGGGCCGCGGGAGAACGACACGAGTCATGTTTACTGTGGCGAGCAGGACGAGTGAGGGCCGCGGGAGAACGACACGAGTCATGTTTACTGTGGCGAGCAGGACGAGTGAGGGCCGCAGGAGAACGACACGAGTCATGTTTACTGCGGCGAGCAGGACGAGTGAGGGCCGCGGGAGAACGACACGAGTCATGTTTACTGTGGCGAGCAGGACGAGTGAGGGCCGCGGGAGAACGGCACGAGTCATGTTTACTGTGGCGAGCAGGACGAGTGAGGGCCGCGGGAGAACGACACGAGTCATGTTTACTGTGGCGAGCAGGACGAGTGAGGGCCGCGGGAGAACGGCGCGAGTCATGTTTACTGTGCAGGACGAGTGAGGGCCGCGGGAGAACGGCACGAGTCATGTTTACTGTGGCGAGCAGGACGAGTGAGGGCCGCGGGAGAACGGCGCGAGTCATGTTTACTGTGGCGAGCAGGACGAGTGAGGGCCGCGGGAGAACGACACGAGTCATGTTTACTGTGGCGAGCAGGACGAGTGAGGGCCGCGGGAGAACGGCGCGAGTCATGTTTACTGTGGCGAGCAGGACGAGTGAGGGCCGCGGGAGAACGACACGAGTCATGTTTACTGTGGCGAGCAGGACGAGTGAGGGCCGCGGGAGAACGACACGAGTCATGTTTACTGTGGCGAGCAGGACGAGTGAGGGCCGCAGGAGAACGACACGAGTCATGTTTACTGTGGCGAGCAGGACGAGTGAGGGCCGCGGGAGAACGGCACGAGTCATGTTTACTGTGGCGAGCAGGACGAGTGAGGGCCGCGGGAGAACAACACGAGTCATGTTTACTGTGGCGAGCAGGACGAGTGAGGGCCGCGGGAGAACGACACGAGTCATGTTTACTGTGGCGAGCAGGACGAGTGAGGGCCGCGGGAGAACGACACGAGTCATGTTTACTGTGGCGAGCAGGACGAGTGAGGGCCGCGGGAGAACGACACGAGTCATGTTTACTGCGGCGAGCAGGACGAGTGAGGGCCGCGGGAGAACGACACGAGTCATGTTTACTGTGGCGAGCAGGACGAGTGAGGGCCGCGGGAGAACGGCACGAGTCATGTTTACTGTGGCGAGCAGGACGAGTGAGGGCCGCGGGAGAACGACACGAGTCATGTTTACTGTGGCGAGCAGGACGAGTGAGGGCCGCGGGAGAACGGCGCGAGTCATGTTTACTGTGCAGGACGAGTGAGGGCCGCGGGAGAACGGCACGAGTCATGTTTACTGTGGCGAGCAGGACGAGTGAGGGCCGCGGGAGAACGACACGAGTCATGTTTACTGTGGCGAGCAGGACGAGTGAGGGCCGCAGGAGAACGACACGAGTCATGTTTACTGCGGCGAGCAGGACGAGTGAGGGCCGCGGGAGAACGACACGAGTCATGTTTACTGTGGCGAGCAGGACGAGTGAGGGCCGCGGGAGAACGGCACGAGTCATGTTTACTGTGGCGAGCAGGACGAGTGAGGGCCGCGGGAGAACGACACGAGTCATGTTTACTGTGGCGAGCAGGACGAGTGAGGGCCGCGGGAGAACGGCGCGAGTCATGTTTACTGTGCAGGACGAGTGAGGGCCGCGGGAGAACGGCACGAGTCATGTTTACTGTGGCGAGCAGGACGAGTGAGGGCCGCGGGAGAACGGCGCGAGTCATGTTTACTGTGGCGAGCAGGACGAGTGAGGGCCGCCGGAGAACGACACGAGTCATGTTGACTGTGGCGAGCAGGACGAGTGAGGGCCGCGGGAGAACGGCACGAGTCATGTTTACTGTGGCGAGCAGGACGAGTGAGGGCCGCGGGAGAACGACACGAGTCATGTTTACTGTGGCGAGCAGGACGAGTGAGGGCCGCGGGAGAACGGCGCGAGTCATGTTTACTGTGCAGGACGAGTGAGGGCCGCGGGAGGACGACACGAGTCATGTTTACTGTGGCGAGCAGGACGAGTGAGGGCCGTGGGAGAACGACACGAGTCATGTTTACTGCGGCGAGCAGGACGAGTGAGGGCCGCGGGAGAACGACACGAGTCATGTTTACTGTGGCGAGCAGGACGAGTGAGGGCCGCGGGAGAACGACGCGAGTCATGTTTACTGTGGCGAGCAGGACGAGTGAGGGCCGCGGGAGAACGACACGAGTCATGTTTACTGTGGCGAGCAGGACGAGTGAGGGCCGCGGGAGGACGACACGAGTCATGTTTACTGTGGCGAGCAGGACGAGTGAGGGCCGCGGGAGAACGACACGAGTCATGTTTACTGTGGCGAGCAGGACGAGTGAGGGCCGTGGGAGAACGACACGAGTCATGTTTACTGCGGCGAGCAGGACGAGTGAGGGCCGCGGGAGAACGGCGCGAGGCCGGTGGCGGGATTACCGGTGAGCGACACCTGTGAGACGCACCGCTCTCGTATCTCTCACGGAGGAGCGGGAATTTTTCTTAGCAATGTTAAAACGCACATCAACCGATCACTTGTTTAGCGTTCATGTAAACACTACATTCAGATTCACCAATCGGAATGAATTCAGTTAGATTGAAACAAAAGGTGTGCATGTAAACAATGAATGGCGACTGCAGAAAGCAAAAGCTGAATCCCAGACATCGACGGCCGGACATGTCCGGGAAAAAGAGGATGGTGACCCCTACTACTCAGCTTTCTCCACAGAATAAGAGCCTGCTAGCTTAGCTTCCAAAAAAAGATGGCTGACACTATGTGTCCGTTCTGTGAGTGAGATCCAGCCTCTATGGGCGGGTTGAGAACATGCGGGACAGCTCCTACTACTGACTGTAGTCTTTAGCCTCTGGACAAAAAATCCTCCGATGACGCAAAATGACGATTTTTACATCATCTGAGGATTTTTCCAGACAAAAAATACATAAATCTCTCGTCTCAGGGGGATATGAGGGTGGAAAGCACGGTAATTCGAAAATACTACAGGTTTCCTACTAATACAAAGCTTAATGCCTAAATCCTGAAGTATCCCTTTGAGTGTGTATTCTTTTGCAATGTTTTTGGACACCTAATTGCAAATAAATAAAAATGTATTTTAGTTTAAATTTATATTACATGCAATTACCTGAACTTTAGAGTGCTTTTTTCATCCACTCAAGTACAAATGTAATTTCATAAACATTTCTATTGTCTTTAAAATATGGTTAAAGTGATCTGCTGAATGTACTGACAAGCATTTATAGTAAACTAAAATTTATTTTAATGTAATTTCTTTTGAAACTTGTGTCATGTATTTAAATGTATTTGTAATTACACGTTTGTAATTTAAAATATATTAACTTCGAATGTAATATCACATTACAGTTAAAATTATAATCAAGTATTTTACATGTGCTTTAGTATGTTAGTCAACACATCAAAACAAGTGTACGTTAAAGCATGACAAAAGTTTATTATGACAATGATTTTAAATAGCCTTACAATTTGGCATTATTACAAAGTGCAGTGTAAAAGTGTACTAAAAGGGTTAGTTCACTCAACAATTATCCCATAATTTACTCATCCTCAAGCCATCCTAGGGGTATATGACTTTCTTCTTTCAGCCAAACACAATCTGAGTTATATTTATAAATATCCTGGCTCTTCCAAGCTTTATAATGTGAGTGAATGGTATCTTAGATTTTGAAGCCCAAAAAACCTCATCCATCCATCATAAAAATAAAAATAATCCATGTGGTTCCAGGGGTTAATAAAGGCCTTCTGAACTATAATCACTGGCTTCTATGTGAGCCTAGTTCCGGTGGAAGAGTGACCTCTGACCCGACGCTTGATGTAGGAGTAGCGTAAGCTCAGGTGAGAGTAGACGCCTCTCATTTACATTTACATTTATGCATTTGGCAGACGCTTTTATCCAAAGCGACTTGCATTGCATTTCAAGGTACACATTTACATACTTATCAGTTCTTATCAGCCTCTCGCGGTTCAAACAAATAGAGCTGGACAACAAACTCAAGCTCCTCCGACATTTTACTTTAAAAATTCTAGTTTTAGACTTCTAATTCGTGACCGTCTGAAAGAAGAGTCATATTCACCTAGGATGGCTTGAGGATGAGTAAATTACGGGATCATTTTTTATTTTTGGGTGAACTAACACTTTAAAGTCATGAAATTGTACAGTTATCTGCAAGTACAGTTTTTCTAAAACAAACAAACTTTTAAGTAGAACTTCAAGTGTACATTACACATTCAATGCAATTAAGGACTTCTGTTTCACCAGGGGACACTTTCTAAAAATGATTATGTCTCAAAATCAGTGTGATTGAGACTAATGTCTCTGTTTGACACAAGGTGGCTTCTCTATGGGTGGTGCCATGGCACTACATCTGGGTTCCAGGTACCAGCCGGATGTTGCTGGCATCTTCGCTCTGTCCAGCTTTCTTAACAAAGACTCGGTTGTATATCAGGTAGTAAATATTCTTCAGAATGCATGTTGCATATCATGATGTCAAACACCAGAAATAATCTATATTACTTTATGCACAGGCAGTAGAAAATGCAACACAGCGCCCCCTACCTGAGCTCCTCCAGTGTCACGGCACAGCGGATGAGCTGGTTTTCCATAGCTGGGGCAAGGAGACAAACTCACTGTTGGAGAAAGCTGGCCTCAACACGTCTTTCCATTCCTTCCCAGACCTCAACCATCAGTTGTGTCGACAAGAACTGGAGTTACTACGGTCCTGGATCCTTAAGAAACTTTCCCTTTAGAGCATCCTTAATGCTGGACAAAGAACACTCCTTGGCCATATACAACCTAGAATAATCATCGCCATTTTTTTTATTTTTTTTTTTATTTAAATATAAAACTTGAGTCAAACAGTAAAGGAAAACCAAGCAAGCGTGCAGCATACACTACTGTTCAAAAGTTTGGGGTCGGTAAGATTATTAAATGTTTTTGAAAGAATTATCTTCTGGTCACCAAGGCTGCATTTATTTAATTAAAAATACAGTAAAAACAGTAATAATGTGAAAAATTATAACAATTTAAAATAACTGAATCTCCAGCATCATTCCTCCAGTCTTCGTGATGTGACACATGATCCTTCAGAAATCATTCTAATATGATGATTTGCTTCTCAAGAAACATTTCTTATTATCATCAATGTTAAAAACAGTTAGGCTGCTGCTTCATATTTTTTTGGAAACAAATGTATTTTATTTTTCAGGATTCTTTGATGGATAGAAAGTTCTAAAGAACAGCATTTTTTTTAAAATAGAAATCTTTTTTAACAATATAAATGTCTACTTTCACTTTTAATCAATTTAATGCATCGTTGCTGAATAAAAGTATTAATTAAAAAAGAAAAAAAAAACTCAAACTGGTCTCAGAATGTGAATTTTGTAGAATATCCTGGCCACACTTTATATACTGTACAATGTATATTTTTTTAAGCTCCAAAATGAGAAAAGGGGGTATAAAAGTTTGATTGTGAGTTAATGACATAATTGTTTTTTTTAAATCGGTGAACTACAGTATAACTTTTAAGTAAACCATTAATCTTAAATTGCACCGTTTTCCAGCTTTGGCCATTGCACCTGTGCTACTGTGTGTACTGTGAAAAATCTGCAGTTTTTGCCCGCAATCCACGTGCTTAATCAGAGCTAATATAGCTGTATAAACCTTGGATTCACCCGCATGTGTTCCACCTCACAAAGACTTGACTCTTTGTGCACATTTCATAGCCTGTAGCGCTAACCACTTTAAAGTGTTCAGTGAAGCACATTCTGCAGGCTGGGATGACTGTTCCATGGAGTCTGGTTTGGCCTGTAGTGCCTGTGGTCAGGCTGAAGCGGCAGGTAGAACTATCACACCGGAGGGGAGGAATGCCACTCGGCTCTGTGGTTTGGATCCGGAATCCGGTCTGTTTGGCACCGTCCCGTTTCCTGTAGAGCGAGGTATCTCTCACTCCTGTTCTACCCCCTTTTTCCCTCCACACCATTATTGCTCGCCATGAAATCTGCTGTACATGTGTTTGGAGGTTCGCTCGGTTTACTTGGTAGTCCCTAACAGTAGCTTCATTAATGGTTATTGGGAGGAAGTGGTTAGCAGGTCTAAAGTTCTGTAGATGTTCTGCTTGGGTTGTGTAGTGGGGCTACAGGCCAGTACCAACATGCACCATCTGGACTTTGACTTACCGACAATGCTAAATGGCCCTAATTCATTCGAAGATACTGCAAATATCCCATTTGAGTCAAGAGTTGCACTTCCAGTCAAGAGTGCAAACGCACAGACTCACTCTTTATAATGACTATTTTCCACATGCTAGAATAATAGTCATCAAAAGTATGAAATTACACAATTGGAAGCTTGGGAATTATGTAGTGACCAAATTTCTCATATCTGAGCTTCCTTTTTGTCTAGTACCCAGCTCTGCTCACTGTGGATATTATCTTAACCAAATTCATGAGTTGCATCCTGGGATGCTTTTAAATATTATGGAGTTTTGATGTTTGGTGTTTATTTCGCAAGAATGCATTGATCAAAAGTGATTGAAAACATTTATAATGTTACAAAAGGTTTCTATTTCAAATAATGGCTGTTCTTTTGAACTTTTTAATCGTCAAAGAATCTTGCAAAATAAAAATGGATCATATAGTTTCCTCAAACATATGAAACAGCACAACTGTTTTCAACATTGATAATAATCAGAAATGTTTCTTGAGCATCACATCATCATATTAGAGTGATTTCTGAAGGATCATGTGACACTGAAGACTGGAGTAATGATGCTGAAAATTCAGCTTTGATCACAGGAATAAATTACATTTTACAATATATTCAGATTTAATAAAAAATACATATAAATGTTAATAATATTTCCAGATATTATTGTTTTTACAGGCAGGGCTGGAATTAGGGGGTTGAAGGGAAGGCTATGCATCACTCAAAATCTGTTGGCAAGAGTAAACGTATGTTCAACCGGACTGCAAGCGTTCACATCTGAATTTGTGTACTTGCGTAAGGGCTGTTTCTGGCGTAATGGAAATCTCGCTGTACTTTTCTTTCACATAATTTCCTCCACACATGACAGTATTAGAGCTTGCAGTTCTCAGTTTGCACAGTTAGCTGGATTTTTTGCAGTCAGTACACTTATAAAACAACTCAGTGTGTTTGATTTCCATATTTTGCTTCAGTACAGCAACACAGAAAAACATAAGCTGAGCACAGGAGAACGAGTTGGATAATCATAAAGCAAAATGTTTGTCAACATTTGCATTACTTACTGTGTATATGCCCACTTTCATTCCAACATATAAATTGTATATCCAAAATGCTTTGGCAATGGGAAACCATTTCTTACTCTGCCAGTGAGGCTTGTTAAATTCAACTGAGTTCCGAAACTTATGTAACATCCTGTTCTATTCAGTTGCATTTTAAGAGCTGCGTCAGTTTCTCTGAAAAAAAATCCTGCACTCTAGACAATTTTTCTGAATAATGCACAAATGCAACAGTGGGTCTTGCTGGTGAACAGTTTTTTACTATTGTTCACATACAGCACCCATTCACTTCATGTACGGTGGTTGTTTGGGGGTTCTGGAGAAATGCGATAGCTGCTGATAATACTGAAGGAGCTTATACACTCACCGGCCACTTTATTAGGTACCCCATGCTAGTAACGGGTTGGACCCCCTTTTGCCTTCAGAACTGCCTCAATTCTTCGTGGCATAGATTCAACAAGGTGCTGGAAGCATTCATCAGGGAGTTTGGTCCATATTGACATGATGGCATCACACAGTTGCCGCAGATTTGTCGGCTGCACATCCATGATGCGAATCTCCCGTTCCACCACATCCCAAAGATGATCTATTGGGTTGAGATCTGGTGACTGTGGAGGCCATTTTAGTACAGTGAACTCATTGTCATGTTCAAGAAACCAATTTGAAATGATTAGAGCTTTGTGACATGGTGGAAGTAGCCATCAGAGGATGGGTACATGGTGGCCATAAAGGGATGGACATGGTCAGAAACAATGCTCAGGTAGGCCGTGGCATTTAAACGATGCCCAATTGGCACTAAGGGGCCTAAAGTGTGCCAGGAAAACATCCCCCACACCATTACACCACCACCACCAGCCTGCACAGTGGTAACAAGGCATGATGGTTCCATGTTCTCATTCTGTTTACGCCAAATTCTGACTCTAACATCTGAATGTCTCAACAGAAATCGAGACTCATCAGACCAGGCAACATTTTTCCAGTCTTCAACTGTTCAATTTTGGTGAGCTCTTGCAAATTGTAGCCTCTTTTTCCTATTTGTAGTGGAGATGAGTGGTACCCGGTGGAGTCTTCTGCTGTTGTAGCCCATCCGCCTCAAGGTTGTGCGTGTTGTGGCTTCACAAATGCTTTGCTGCATACCTCGGTTGTAACGAGTGGTTATTTCAGTCACTGTTGCCCTTCTATCAGCTCGAACCAGTCTGGCCATTCTCCTCTGACCTCTGGCATCAACAAGGCATTTCCGCCCACAGAACTGCCGCTCACTGGATGTTTTTTCTTTTTCGGACCATTCTCTGTAAACCCTAGAGATGGTTGTGCGTGAAAATCCCAGTAGATTAGCAGTTTCTGAAATACTCAGACCAGCCCTTCTGGCACCAACAATCATGCCACTTTCAAAGTCACTCAAATCACCTTTCTTCCCCATACTGATGCTCGGTTTGAACTGCAGGAGATTGTCTTGACCATGTCTACATGCCTAAATGCACTGAGTTGCCGCCATGTGATTGGCTGCTTAGAAATTAAGTGTTAACGAGCAGTTGGACAGGTGTACCTAATAAAGTGGCCGGTGAGTGTATATGAATACAGTGATGGGTGTCGTATTCTTATAGGTAGACGTGGATCAGCTCAGTGTCACCTGATGCGAGCTTGACTAACGTGACCTGCCAGAACTGACGTTACACTTAATTTATTAGAAATAAGATTGTGTGGGTGTTTGAATCAAGATTGCAATCTTTTAACGATTAATAGGGCACCTCTACAGCCCAGAGTGCGGTTCCCTCATTCTCTGGCTCACACACACAATGTTTATGGCCCTCGTTAACACACAATGACTGTACATCGAATATTTGCATCCTGAACATTATGGAGTACTTTGCCTCACATTCGGCGGTCAGGTAAGTGTGACGGGTTATGAGGACTCGCAGCCTCCTCCCTCAGACCGGCACTATTGTGGGTATGCGGAGCAAGGTAGGTGTTTCAACACTTCTGTTGGCACAAACATGTGATAGGGACGCAATGTCTCCCGACGCGGCACTTCCCGTTTCACCTCACTGCGAGGCTCCCACTGCAGGTGTGTCAAAAACTATTGTCCTTTTAGTGCCCCTTGTGCAGAGTTTGGAAGCGTGGCTAGCGTTCTCCAACCCAGTCGCGCTGGCTCATCAGGACAATCTGATTCAGCTATGCGATTCAGTTCACCAGGCGCCCTCCCAGGTTTAGTGACATCCTTTTTACCTCAGTAGTAGGTAAAGATGCCCCCGTACTGCATGCAGAGATCACAGTCCTTCTGGCAATGGACACGATAGAGCCTGTTCCTCCAGCCGAGATGAAGAGAGGGTTTTACAGCCCCTACTTCATTGTAATGAGAAAATTATAGCCAATCTTAGTTTTGAACCAGGCCCTGCACAAGTTTCTGTCCAAAATGTTGACCCAGAAACGCATTCTGACATGCGTTCAGTATCAAGATTGGTTCGTGGCGATAGACCTGAAAGACTGTTTGCTTTCAAGGGGCAGACATATCAGTAAAAGGTCCTCCCTTTCGGGCCGTCCCTCTCATCTCGTGTCTTTGCAAAAGTTGCAGAGGCGGCCCTTGCCCCGTGAAGGGAAATGGGCAGCCGCATCCTCAATTATCTGGTTGACTGGCTAATTCTAGCTCACTCTCAAGATTTATTGTGTGCGCACACAGGGACCTGGTGCTCAGACATCTCAGCCGATAGGGGCTTCAGGTCAACTAGGAAAGCAGCAAGC